TTATTACAACGCCCAAAAATAATGACCACCCCCACCATCCAATTTTAAATTATGAAAGTAAAAAGTAAATTAAAGAAAAATAGTAAAATAAGAAATATTACGAACGCAGTAAAAATTAGTAGAACGACAAATAGAATTAATTTTCCTAAGCCTCAAAAAGTTAAGTGTTTTTATTGTAAGAAGACTTTTCTTATTAGTTATAATCCCGCTGTAGGAATGCCAAGTCAAAAGAACTACTGAAATTATTGGACAGATGAGAACTGAGACTATAAGCAAATGCGCCGTAAACCTGAAAGTGAACGAGGGGATAAGATATGTTCTGAATCGCTCCGAGATATTTACCTAGGCAAAAAATGAGAGTTTTTAGACCAAATAAAAAGTGAGGGCAAACGTCAGACACTCAGAAGTTACATCTACCATAATATTGTCTAATATTATGATTTTCTATTAAGCATGGTTTTACAAGGTTTATGGAGCATTATGAAAAATCTATAAAACTATAAATATGAAGAACAAAGAAAATTTAACAAATGTCTCACCAAGGGCAACAATAACACATAATAATTGCTGATATCATTCTGAACTGTTAGGGGTTCAATTGGTTGTCCAGAAACATTTTCTAAATCACCATTGTGCAATGTATTGTCCTTTTGAGGAATTAAAAAATTTGCTCACAGCAAGATTATAATCGCTTATGATAACTATCAATAAACTCCTTCTGCCTCACCACAGAATGAGGCAATAAATATACACAACAATATGACAAGTAACATCACACAACAAGAAATAAAATATGCAGTAAGAGAAATAACTAGCAAACCAGATGAAAAATTAATCAAAAGAGTTCAGGATTATTTTGAATTTTATCCTGAAACACTGGAGCAATTAACTGATGAAAAATTTAAAGAGACTTTTATCAAATTACTTTACAACTACGGTTATTTACATAGCGAACTGATGACTAGCACGATAGAGACCGAAGCCACAGGAAGAATAATTTTAGAGGTCTTAATGAAAGAAAATGGTCTAAATCAAGAAGAAATAAACGAATTATTAGATAGAAACTGCTGAAGAAGAGTAACCCAGTTTTCAGTAAAAAAAGAAGACTTTTCTGATTATGGAAATTATAAGAAAAAAAAGATTACTTGAAAAGATAAAGAAGCAAGAAGTTTAAGTGCAGAGGAAGTCTTGAATATTATTAACAGAAAATTTGAAGAAGCAGAAAAAGTTAAAGAGTTAGAGAAATATAAAGAACAAATTGAGAATTTGGAGCAGAATGTTGTAGAGATTTTAACCAAGGTTAAAGAAAAAGAAGATGAAGAAATTTCCTATTGAGAGAAAGGTGAACCACAAGAATTACTAGAAAATATCAAAAAGGGAAATTTAGTTCAAACAGTCATTAGAGTTATTAAAAAGTGAAAAAGAGATGCTAAAATTCACTTTAAATTTATTGATGCTGCGAAAGAATTGAATGATGGAATAAAAAGTGAGTTAAAGAAAGAAGTCGAAAATAAAGAAAATTTATTACAGTCCAATTATCGAATAATTGAGAAAAAAGACCAGCAAATTGAAAGATTAGAAAGAGAATTAAAAGAGAAAACAGAACTGCTGGAAGGGGCTTTTAAGAAAATCGAGGAAAAGGACAGATTATTAAAATTAGCCGACAAACCTTTACCAAAAAAACCTAACAAATTCAAACTCGTTAAGAAAGAGGTAAAATCTAAACTCCAACAATTAATTAGAAAGGAAAAGTCGCAAAAACCAGAGTTAGTTGCTAAAATAGAGGTTCCAACTAGATAAGTATGAAAGAACTTCTTTATACAATTTTAGAATTAGAGGAATGAAATAGTGGAGCAACCTGCTGGTTTTGCTATAATAAAGCAGTTTGTCAAATCAGAACCCGAAGCAAATTGACTGACAAGATAATAGCAAACGATATGGCTTGTGAAAACTGTAAAGAAAAATTTGAAAACAATGAATTGACAAAATGTGAGAGATGTGGAAGGCTGAAAAACAGACATGGTTTAGATATTAGGGGTAATTATGTTTGTGATTGTGTTAGATATAATGAGGATTATAGTAAAAAAGAACTTCCTGTCTTGCCTCATGAAAGAAGGGAAGCAGCTTTCTACGAACGACAAATAAACGGCTTGCGAGAAGAATTAAACACTGCCGAAGTAGAAATAGATACTCATCTAGAAGCCTTAGAAACTGCCGAAGATTGACATAAAAGACAGAAGCAGGAGTTGTTAGACAGGATAAAGGAATTAGAAGCAGAAAATAAGAGATTGAAAGAGTTAACTCCCCAAGAACTATTAGATGAGATAAACAAACTAAAAGACAGAGTTAAGCAACTAGAGGAGCAATTGCAAGCTCAAATCGAAATCAAAGAACCGAAAAAATGACCTTGGAAACTAAAGAAATAAACAAAACAAATTCCTACTGCTCCAATAAAAATTGTCGTTTCCCTGCTCCCCACATAATCAACCAGTTAAAAAAAGCCTCCAAACTAACTTGGAGGCAATTTGCTGATAAATTTGAAACTAGTGAAAGAACCATCAGAAGACATGCCAATCTCTCCAAGAAAGAAAAACAATGAAAAGAAAAGCAAGTAGGGAGAGGTCGCAAATCTAAACTCAAATTTTATCATTGAGCACTTTTATATTTATGCCTTCTTTCAGAAAATAAAAGCCCAACCCAGCAAGAAATAGCCGACTACATTTTCCAAAAAAGTGGCAAAAAGATAAGTCGTCAAACAGTATCAAGATTATTAAAGGAACAAAATATTACTCGTAAAAAACTTTCCCACCAATATTCAGAACAGGCAAATCATAAAGATAAAATCAAGCAATTCATCGAAACTACTAAATGATTATCTAATCTTTTGTCTTTAGATGAATGTTCTTTTCACCTAAATGAATCTCCGAGATATGGTTATTCCTCACAAGGTTCCCGTATCCGCTTTAAAAAGCCTGGAAAAAAAGGTGGTAATCACACGCTAATCTTATGTATTCAGAATGCAGCAAATAAAGGAGTAATTCATCATGAACTAATTGAGAAAGGAATGAAAACTAAAGACTTTCACAAATTCCTTAACAATATTAACCTTCCTAATAACGAGAAATATTATCTCTTGATGGATAATCTCTCAGTTCACAAAGCAAAACAATCATGTATCGACTTAAAACTTACTACTATCGAAGAACTAATAGAAAGTAAAAACATCGAACCAATTTATTTACCTCCTTATACACCCGAACTAAATCCGACTGAACTGTGTTTTAATTTTATTCGTCAGCAAGTTGAAAAGAATAAACCAAGAACTTATGAAGAGTTGAAGTCTGTTATTGATAAAATTATAGATATACTCAATCAAAAGGATATGACTCAGTATTTTAGGCATTGTTGAAATTATGAGAAGAAGAAAAAGATAAAGAGTGATTTGCCACAAATAGAAATAAGTGAAGAAGCTATGAGAGGTTTTTTTAATTATGCGTTTGAAAAAAGAATGGTCTAAAAAAACGGTCAATAATTTTGAGCGTTGTAATAA